GACCACTTCTGACACACTTGATAAAGATTTTAAACAATAGTCAAGTCGTTGAATGGCTGTGTACGCTATGGGCCACAAGGATAAAGACGATTTTTCCAATATTTTCCTTTGCCGATGAGTCAACTCACACTTCCAATTTCAGCTCCCCGGCGTTGCGGCTTGTAAAGCAGAGGCCACTGTTGATATCTTATTCCGTGTCTGCAGACTGCCGACTGGCCATTTTCACCTGGACAAAAACTATTATATTAAGATAAAGTATATTGTTTTTCAACACAGTACTCTAGTGTTTAAGTCGGAAATTAAAACTGAGGGGATTCCATAAACAGGCGTAGCGCAAAATCGATTGACCAGTCCGCTTTTTAGTAGTTTTGATTAAATTTGACAGTGTACTGAAGACGCCATTTTTATTATCTCTCTTCGAAAGCTGAAAGTTTGCTTCTGTGATTGGTAAAATCAAAAAGAAGGAAGACGTGAGAGAACACAGAAGCACCTAACATAAATATCATACGAGTGCCTTGAAGCTCATCTGTTCCTTTTCTTGTGTTATTTCACCATTGCAGCTGGTGTACAGTGGGTTTATTGAACCTTCCAACCTACTGGGGGTCCCATTTCCTCGCAAATGTCTTGTTTTGTTAGCCCTCTTCATGTACAGGGCTGAGCAGCCATCGAACTGACATTGTTGATGCCTCGTGCTCCTAAACACTCATAACACAGATCTACAGCTCTGTGGCGATTGATATTCGGGGGGCGGGGAGTATTATCTTTTCTGCATGCTCCTCTCTATCAAACGCGAGCCATAGTGCGCTAATGTGCTAGAACATGGGTTTATTATCTTGATCCTGTTTAGAAACAACACATGACCCCTCCGATACCCAAGTGCGTGCCCTTTGTCGTCTAGTTGGGGCCAATGTGTTTTGAAGACGTCATGAAGCCTGTAATAATCAAAATGTGCTGCTAGGCTACTGCGACACCTTCGGGTTTATGTGGCAAGACTTGAACTCACGAGGTTCAGGGTTCAACAAATGATTTAGCCTGCACAGCTTTGTACCTTTCCATCCCCTTTCCATCCCCCTTTTTACACGTGGTGAAACACCTAACCAATGTGCCAAGATCTGGACAATAAAGATGTATCTTATCTTATCTTATCTTATCTTATCTTTCCTCCCTTCCTCCCACACAGACACATGTTTGTCGCACGCCTTCTTTTCATCTTTTGGTGTGGGTTTTATAATATATTTTTCTGAACTTTTTTGGCGGGGGGAGGGGAGGGGGGTGATGGAACGGGAAAGGAGAAAATCGAGGCGAATCGACTATGCACAATAAAATGATATACAGCTCCTTTTAGATGTCTGTGAGCACACATCAATAATTAGATGAGCATTTAGTAATAATCACTTTTCTGCCTCGTCTCTGTTTATATCCTTCCCTTCTCCCTTCTTGTGTATTTTAAGTTTGGTGAAATGGCTCTGCTTTTATAATTAAAAGTACGTTTTAAAAACCCATCGCTTTCCTGGCGTTTTTCCAAAGCATACGTTGACGAAACGTTCTTCTGATGTTTGCCCCCCCTCTCTCTCTCTCTCTCTCTCTCTCTC